GAGACTGCTTCCCCCCGTCTACTTCGCCCGTGAAGGCTCTACAGGCCACCATGCGGCTCCCTCCACGTTAAATAACCAATAATAATAATAATAATATGATACTTCCAGAGAAATCCTTTCGCGGTGGTACGCGTTAGACTGCACAACTGCCTGACTGGCATGTCCTTCGAGGAGGCGAAACAGTACCTGCGGCAGGAGGACGAAGATGGCAACTCCTTGTACGAGCACCTGTCGCGTGTGTTACTGAAAGTCATCGTTGAGAAGCCGCAGAATGCAAACGCCATGTTCGAGCAATTGTCTCAAGAACTGCGTGGGGCGACGCAGGTGAAGCCAACGCTGCCGACGGAAGGTGAGCCTGAGATAGCCAAGCCGGAGAAAAAGTCACAACTCGACTGGTGCGGCGCTGTATCAAATCTCTATGCTCCCACAGAGGGCGACGCGACTGAGATCACTTATCCTGACCTGATGACCGAGGCAAACGTGTACGAGTGGGCGGGAATCAACTTCGGAAAGATGGAGACCTATCGTCTCTACCTAGCCATCAAACAGAAGGCAGTAGTCGAAGCGCGGAGCCTTCGCTTCTGGGGAAAGATCACGGGCCGGAGCGGTGACTACTTTGTCGTGCAGGGTGACAATCCCGATCCCCCATCAGCAGAGGAGATAACGACAGTCGAGGGAGCTGAAGGCGCGAACAAGTACGCTTTTTGGGTCTGCACGTATGCGGGCGGTACGTGGACCAAGCTTCCAGACACCACGCCAGAGGCAATTGTGGTTGCACGACAGATCAAACGATTCTTCACGGGAGACCTCGATGCACCCGTCCCATCCTACCCGCCTTTCCCAGGAGGCACAGAGGCGCACCTCCTCCGGGCTCAGATCGCCATGATCACAAGCGAGTGCAGCATCTCGCCCGGCGGTTTCTACGCAGAGGACGATGAGGCCGAGGAGGGCATCAAGGCCATCAAGAAGGTCGAGGAGATGGATGACTTCAAGTCCGCCGAGGACCTCAAGGACGCCAGCAATTGGGTCCACCACGAGGTCCCTATCAACGTCAACGGGCGTTGCAATCAGCCCCCGGCGAACGAGGAGGAGGAGGACGGTGCTGAGCCATCAGACGAGCTTCCTGACCTGCCGCTTCTTGGTGCCATCGCCGAGGATGAGATTACTGACGGTCCAGCGTGGTCAATTTCCGTCTGTCCTGGTGGCACAGGTGAGTCGCCCGACTCGGTTGTCATCGCTAAGAGCCTAAAATGGCCTGGCGCAGTTGCTGCTGCGTTTGGTAATAAGTTCATAAACGTGTACGGCGGTTTTGGCTTTGCTTCATCGCGCGGTGTGTCCTACGAGCCGCCCAGGGTACCCCCGATTCAGAAGGAATGGGCCCCGACGGAGGAAGATGACAAGGGCCTCATTGAAGATGAAGACAAGATTACGCAGCCTGTCGTGGAAGAGGAGGAGGAGGAGGATGGCTAAGTAGCGAAAGTTTCCTATTGGACTGCTTCGACTTGACTTCCACGACCTCTGGAATTTCAACCACACAGCCGTGTATTCAAAGCGCGACGGCCGCATGCAGCTACGACTCTGAAGAAACCAGTTCTCAAGCAATTGTCTCAAGGACATCTGTGTCAACGTGAATACGCTGTCATTTCAAGCAAGCGAAACAGCAGCCTCCTACCCACGACCACATTCAGTGAAAATTAAGCAATGATGCTGTGGTGTCGGGAGTCTTTTTTTTGGTTTCAGTCCGCTTGGTCCACAACATCCCGGCGGCTTGTTAGGAAAGTCGGATCAAACCACCACCGCCAGCCGCTGCCCCCCGGGAACTCCGCGGTATCGAGTTTGCGCCTGCCTGCCCCCTAGGCGCAGACATGGGAAACCCAATCGGAACTCAGTTCGCGACTTGGCGCCCCCACTAGGCCCGCCTAGGTGATTCGTGACTGGCGCTATCTCTGTCGGGGGAGCCCGTAGCAGTGCGCAAAACAAAGCCCTGAAACAAAACGCCTGGGGGTTTTGTATCTTGAAGTTCAGCTTGGTTAGTTGCCAAGTTCAACATAAAGGTTGAAGTTAGGGGGTCGTAAGCCGCTCGAAAGTGGGCTCATTTCGCCGGGGCTGGCGTTGTGAGTGCGGTAGCGTCGTACATTTGCGACACTCGGGCGTGAGGATCGTTTTTCGCATTTTTGACTTTCAACCCGCACTAGACCCGCCGCGCGCACGTGCGCGCGCGCGGCAGTGACGTGATCAAAACTCAGATTCTATTGGCGTGGATTGTTTTTCGACGCGCGGTCGACGCACAGCCTCTACGGAGGACTAATGAATCCCGCTGCGCCGGGCCCAGCATAATTAATTAATAATTAATTACTTAGGATTGTGTGTCGAAGGCATTGGCAGTTGATATAGGGTACTTCCCGCGATGGTTGTGGTTGCTGTTGGAGGAGGAAAATGGTGGGAAGAAAGAGCAGCTGAAATATTTGGTTAAAAGGACCGAGCAGAGTGTCGTGGACCTCGTGCGTGAGGTGCAGGTACGGCGGCATGTTGTTCTAGTAGGCCCCCCACCTGCCCCAGGGAACCCGAAACGCGACCCGAAACGCCCCCGACAATTTTGGGTCGGCGGCTGGGGGCTTTACTCAGGCGCCGGGGGGGCGGGTGGGGTCCAAACTAGAAAGCGTCGGATTTCCCGCGTTCGGGTCTTAAGTGCCCCAGGTGTACCAATGGCGCGAGAAATGTGCGCGCCATGCGCAGTCCTAGCGACCTTGCACGTGGGGGCGCGTGCGAGGAAAAGCCGCGCCACCTAACTTTCGGAAAGTAACTTGGCTCAGTGACCGGGGAGTTCACTCGAGTCACGCATCTGTATCAGCTTCTGGCTTCAGGGAGGTTTGTCCGGTAGTGGCGCATCCACGGCAGGCGGCGTCGCCGTGAAATCGATGTCGAGCAGACAAGGCTCGGCCGTGGTGGCTGGCGGTGGCTGCAGGATAAGACTGGCTGCCTTGGGTCCCCGGGAAAGGGCATCGTCTTCGTCGTCGTCGAGGTCGAGGGGGAGGAGATTCTGCGGTGAGGGCGGCTTGGGAAGGCCTGGTGCTTCGTACACCCTCGGTTTGGCCTCGCCCTGCAACGCTTCGTGGAGGTCGTCGTTCACCTTCAGGCAAGATGTGAGGGTCTCGTCGCCGAATGCGCCTGCAATTATTAGCGTACATTCCAGTACTGCAGATGGTGGCAAAACTCAGGGAGGGGCGGATAGGTTTGTAATCTCTGACTCATCGGCGCACCAGAGAGGCCAGATTCGACAAGTATTGCCAGGCGTGGGCGACAAGCCTCGAGAAATCCGACAACCTCGGCGAGTGCATCATCGTGGTCAATGCCAGGGCTGTTGGGGACCATCTCCTTGCAGAGTCGAATCTTTTCTGCCACGATCTCTACGTCTGCACGGACCTTGGCGAGGGCGTTGGCACGATCGAGGCTCCCGTCGGCAAGCGCAGCCGCATACACCGCATCATCCTGAACGACAGTCCCATCTTGGCGTGGCGGCGTAAACACAGGCGCGTTCTCCTCATTCCCTGTGGGAAATTCAAACCCCTTGACCTTGAGCGCTGTATACGTGTCCGCGAACGCAGGCAATGCGTCGCGCGACTCGAATGCGACGCCCCATTGCTGCACTAGTGCCAGAGCCTGCCTCTTGACCTCTTCACCACTGCCACCCTCGCAGAGTTTTGCTATTTCACTCAGGATCTGCTGCTGCCCCACGGCCGCGTGAACAGCTTCGCCGCAATTCTTCACGCACATCTCCAACAAGGTCAATGACAATGCCGTGACATGTGCGTCATTCTTGCCCAGGCGCTTCTTCACCGCGAATGCCATGGTGACCGCATCGGAAGGATTCCTCTCCAGAGCATCACAAATTTCGAGATTAACCCCGAAATCCACTAGGCCCATTCGCACGTCCGACGTCGCTGATTCTACGAGCAAGTCCATGATTCAGGAGTCGCCGAGGTTGGTGCGACGCGATTTTTGCGAAGCCCGCACCACAGACAGGCCAGAACTTGCCGAGGACGCCTTTCGGAGACACAAGATCACGCGCCGCAGCTTTTACCCTGCCCACGCCACTGGAAAATCGACGATTTTGGGCTAGCTAGCTCTAGTGAAGATTACAGCTGTTTTGAGGAATTTTTGGTCGAGAACGCTTAGAACGCGCAGCCCAACTCCCAATGGCGATTGAAAGAAGAAGCAAGGCACGCATGCTTAACAGTCACGCTCGAGATAATCGCAAGCGCTCGAGAGCCACCAATCAAAGGGGCTAATTGCGACTATTCTTTTACTTGAAGCCAATCCACAGTAACTTTTTGGCCCCCTGGAACAGCAAAAAGGCCTATGCGATCCATATCGGACCAAATCGCTCCAACCGGAAGCGCAGCTACAGAGAGATCCCCCTTCTTTTTTCAGTTTCTTTTTTAACTTAGTAATTTTTATTTGATGAATCAATGTATATTTTAATAGCTATGACCCACGATTTTGGGCACCTCGACCGCGGACCCCCTGCTTGTCTCATCGTGATGGACGTTTATCTGGGGCTCCGGAACCGCAGCCGATCATGCTAGGTCATCGATTGGCACAAGTTATGGCCGAAAATGTCGGTTTTTGGAGATTTCCGGCGTGCGCGAGCGCCACGTACGCGTGTCCACCCGACGGCGGCGGGTGCCACGCACGTCCACGCTAGCCCAGGGAGTCCGCCCGGGCCCCAGGCGGTCGCGCGGGGCGCCGAAGCGAGTATATACGGCCGTATACGACGCGTTTGTACTGGTTTAGTACGGCTAGGGTGTACTGGCGAGGCACCAACGGCAGGAAAACAGGCGCGCAGAGCACCGTTTCGACGGCCGAGCGTCTTCTGGAGTCGAGACAAGATGTCTCGACGCAACGACAGCGCCAGTCCGCGTTCGTGGGCGCGTCGTCGCTGTAGGCCGTGTTGGTGTCGTTTTCGAGGCGCTGGCAGGAGGCGCCCAAGCTGTAGCTGTCGAGTACCGCGTTCACCTGACGCGCGGGCCAGCGGAGCCCCGGTGATCGGTCGTGAGAGGGCATCGGAACCGCTCTGGACGTCCAGGGGCGTCGCGGCGCCGCACACTGGCTCGGAAAGACCGCCGCCAATCGATGAGAATCGAGGAATCGAGGCCGTAGGGTGGTCCGACGGTGGAGCTGTCCGTGTTTCGCGAGACATGGTCTTCGTAGCAACCCTCTCCGCAACTCCTCCGGAGAAACACGGACAGCGAGGTCCGGAACACGTCCAACACGCGCCAGCTGTCTCTAGAGAACGCTCCGACGAGGCCGTTGCGTTTTCGACGACGCCCGGACCGTTTCGCGCGCGGCGTCTTCGCAGTGGCCTGGCCACGGACGGTCCCGAGACACATGCGGGAGCGCGCGGCCCCACTCCCCGGGGGCGCCGCGCGCGCGCTGTCACGGCGGCCGCTCTCCGAGCCGAGCGCCTCAGCTCCCAAAGTCAAGGTCGACCGAGTTGGGCAAAGCTTGACAATGTTTGGACACAGCCAGGTCCTATTTTATCTACGTGCTGGCCGGGGGTGGAGCTGAAGTGCGGACACTGTCCGCGCTTCAGGATGAGGCGCGGACAGGCTAAGTCTTGCGATGTGTGCGCCCCTGGAGGCCCACCGGCGGTCACACCGCGTCCTAGGGGTTCACATGGACGCCGCTGACCCGCGGCGCGCTGCAATTCGGTGCCGGTGGCGCCGAGCCGCAACGGTTTCGGACCGAGCGCGACGCCGTGGCGCCGGGGCCAGAGCGGCGCCCGCCGGGGCCGTGGACCGTACCCGCGCCCCACACACGCCCACCGTATGTTGATCGACGCGCTCCGCCGAAAGGTCGTTGAAAATCGCTGGGAATCCGGCCGCGGCGCGCCGCGAACTCGCTCCGCCGTAGCGCGATGCCGTGGCGCCGAGGGCCAGGCTGGCGCCCACCGACGTCGTGGACCGTACCCGCGGCCCAGACACGCCCACCGTATGTTGTTCGACGCGCTCCATCAACAAATTGTTGGAAATCGCTGGGAATCCGGCTGCGGCGCGCCGCGAACTCGCTCCGCCGTCGCGCGAGGACGCGCCGCTCGGCCGTCCGCGCGCAATTTTGCGTCGACCGATCACCATCGCTGTGTTCCGCCGGACGCATCGGCATCGTGGAGCTCGTCGAGGGCGACCCTCGCGGTTTTGGACGACCGCGCGCCGCGCGACACTCGCCGAGATCGTCGCGGCCGAGAACGAGCGGACGGCCACCGCGGCCCTGATGCGGCCGCGTCCGCGCCTCGCTCGGGGCCTCTGTCGGTCGCGCGTCAATCGCCAGTTACGAACGTCGACGCGGGTTGCTGGGCAGCTGCAGATGCTGGCCGCAGGCCAGCTACTTTTCTGGGCCAAACAGGCCAAAGAGAAGGAAATTGGGGAAAGGAGATAGGGGCCCCATACTAAAGTGGGGACCTTGGGACTGAACTCAGGCTCATGAGGATATGAACCTGCAAGGATAGAAAGAAAAGGGAAAATAAGGACAGCCTAAGGGCAGATACAGGAGAATCTTCCTCCTGAGACAGCGTCACGGTCTATCGCCAAAACGCAGCGGCGCGTGCGCCGATTTTCGCCGACCCACTGCCGATGGCATGGCAGTGCGTGCCCCTCGGGTGTGACCAATTTTGGTGCACTAAAACTCAGATCATCACATGTAGAACCTTCTATCATCCGTATACTCCACTGATTATCTACGAAACATAGCCTATTAGCCTAGTTAATATTGTGGCGAGCGGCGTCGATGGTCACGTGAACACGGTCTCAGTGAGATCAGGCACCGATAGAGCCGATGGTGCACTCAAAATGCCCAGCCCATTACGTTCGGCCGCGTGCCGCCATCGTGCATTCGCACAGGGGGTCGTGTCAGACGCGGCTCATCGCGCAATACATCGCGGCGCACCTCGTGCTAGGCGGGTACACTGAGGTGGACGTGGGTCCCTGGGCAGACGAGCTCGCCGCCGAGGTTGGTGAGGCGTCCCACAGCACCAACCTGGCATCGATGTCGATCAAGGAGCTCAAGCGCTTCATCGCGGAACGTGGTGTGCATTGCCCCGCGGGGTCGCTCGAGCGGCGGGAGCTTGTTGAGGCTGCGGCGCGCTGTCGCGGTCGCCGCGTCGTGAAGAAGGTGCCGTCACTGCGCGTGGTCCGGCATCATTCGAGCAGCGACCGTGATGCCAAGGCTGAGACGCTCTCGGAGCTCGATTGCCGCGTCATGACGTCGGCTCGTGACTTGCGTGTGGCCGCGCGTTCACGCTGCGTCCGTCCTTCTTTGAGATTCTGAGGGCCTCTGTCGCGTGGCACGACATAGGTCGAGACGTGCGCATTGGTAGTCGTCGTCATCGACGCGGATGACGGCGCCGCATGCGGCGCTTGGGTGCGCGAGGCGTTGGGGTCACGGACGGGCATCGCATCGGACGCGATCCCTGTCGTTGTCTTGGCAGCTGAGGTGATGACGCATGAATCATTTGCATCATCCTTCGATGATATGGCTCTACCACTCCCCAGGGTCCCAGTAACCGCGCGCGGATTGGAGAAGCCCGAGCCGCGCGAGCTCTCGGGCCGTCCGCTTGCGCGGCCACGGCGTCTGGACATGCCGAGCTCCGCCCGCCCCCCTTCGAGAGGAGAGTTTCCATAGGTTATCAGCGGCGCGGCCTGCTTCGTCGTCGGGACTCGCGTTTCTGACGGTGCCCTTGTCGCGCTCACACGCGGAAGCCTCGTCGTTGAACGCCTCGGCCTGCGTGGCAAATTGCAGTCTACGAGAGGGGTCGATCGTGGAAGGGACTCACGAGGGATCGATATTTGGTTCGAGATTGAAGAGCTCGACGATAGTGGCTGTATGCCGCATGAGGTGACCTCGGATCGCTTGCAGCGGTCAATTCCTGCATAGGGCTCGACGCAGAGCGAGATAGCCTCGTGTCCAAGTTCTACGACCTCCTTACGACTTCGGGCATCCCTATGGACTATATTCCGCGAGTGGCCATGACGACGGTGACCTGGGGTCATCTTCTTGTCAGCGGGCCCCTCCTCGCCGTGGAAGCCGCCGTCGATTGCCGAAGGCGCAACGCGGAACAGTCACTACCCTTCACGGGCCCCCGCGCTGCCCTCGAGTCTTGCATCGACGTCAGAAAGCTCGTCGCCAACGCGATGCGCGAAGCGCGGCTCGCCCTTGACTCGAGCGCTGCCAAGGTCCGGCGGGCAGCCGTCGACAAAGCGTGCATCGCGGAACGTGATGGCCGCACGGATCGCCGCGTCGCTCGCGAGGCGGATCCGGCGGCGACAAATGGAAACCCCTGCACCCCTGCGTTGCAGGCGCTAGAGGTTCTAGCAACAACACGAGGCGGAGCTCGCACGCGAGGTCGCACAAATGGGCGCCCAAGCTCTCCACAGCCCTCCGCAATTCGGCAGCCCTGTGCGGCTCCTACCGCGGTCTCGAGATTCTTCTTCTTCTCCCTGGGCCACTCTTTTCTTTCCTTGTCGCAACCCAGGTCCTTGGTCTGCCTCGCGACGCCGTCGTGTCGCCCGCGGTCAACGACCTCGCATCAACGACCGCCGTTTCCATGGCCTCAAGGAACATCGACGCCCTCATCGATGCCTGTACTCACGCCAAGGTTCCATGCCCAACTCTCGATGCGCTCCGCGCCGCGCTTGTAAAAGCCGGTGTTGGAAGCTTTTCTCAAGAGACACCTCGACGCAGGCACGGTCTTGACAGCTCCACTTCAAAGACTCAAAGAGAAACGTTCGGCCGCCCAACGTGCGGTCGACGCGATCTCGAATTGGTGGAGAGGGAGAGTTTTTAAGGGAAGGAGAGCCTCACCGAATGATCTCGCTCCGCAGGCCGACACTCGCGTTCGGGGCGAAAGGACCCAGTCCGCGACGACAATCTACGGCAACGCTGGCAGGCCCAAAGGCGCCGCTGAATTCGCCACAGTTCTCCTCCGGTGCATCCTATTCGCCGCACTTATCACCCCTGCGATGGTTCTCGCCGTCGAGCTCCTCGTCCCCACGCGGGGCACGCAGACGCGCACCCTCTACGCGGGGGCTACCGACCTATGACTCGTTGCTATTGGCGCTTTCCTGGCGCGCTATATACCGGGCTTTAATCCATATCCCGTCGTCTCATCCCGCCGGGGATATGTTAAACGCCGCTTCAACTTGGGCTTCAACCTGAGTTTCAATCTCAAACTTTGCACATCAACAAGGACCTCAACACCGCCGCTTGCGCCTCAAAAGGGACCTCAACACCGCCGCTCACGCCTTGCTGGAGACCTCAGAAGCACCGCCCACGCCTTGGGGGGGGCGCCCCAAACCATGCACCAGAAACCCTCGGCGGACGGACCCCAAACACCTTACGATTCTGCGACGGACGGAGCCCGAGTGGACCACAAAAACGTGCCAGTGCGAATCCGTAGCCGCCGCAAGGCAGTGTGTGGGCCGCAGAGCTTCACGAGGAGTTGGGAGGACGGATGGAGTAGCTTCTCCGGTGATATTGGCCGCCGCAACGGGCCGAAAAAGTGGTTTTATGTTGGCCCTTTGCAACTGAAGCGCACAGCAAGCGCACAGTAGGTTAGTTCGGACTAGTACATACAAGACTATCTGAGGGAGACCAAGCAGGGTATGGCCCGAGTTATGTTGGGTAGAATCCCCCTGCGCTAGCTTTGAGAGACATACCCCACTATAACCAGCGACTATAGCCTCGCTTCTCCTTGGCCTTCCCCTTCCTTTGAGGCCTTCCCTTTCCTTTGAGCTGGTCCGATCCGCGGCCTTGCCTATGCGTTAATAGTACAGGGACATGGTCGCACGCCGCGTTGAGAGTGCGATTCTGAGGTGGCTTTCGTCGATACAGAGCATGACTGGGACTTTGAGTTCTCTACACTCTGCGGCATTGTCTTGGGGCTGCGGGTCAGTCTCTTTTGCAACGTGTTGGGGGTTAGCTTTCTCGGTCAACTGCACATGCTCCCTGAGGCAGCACCTAGCGGCGGAGTGGCAAAGGGCGTGGAGGTCAGCGCCTGAGAGGCCAGACGTCTCGTCGGCGACAACGTCGAGGAAGCATCGCGCCGCAGCGTTGAATGGCATGGTCTCGGCTTTATTTGTGAGGATCGCTCGTCGGTCCGCAACGTCGGGAAACTCGAGTTTAAGACGGGTGCCGAGGCGACCAGGCCTTAAGAGCGCCTCATCTAAGTCCGCGAGTGATTCTGCGCGCGCGTGCGGGGGGGGGGGCTTGAGGGGCGTCGTCTTCGGCAAGGTCAGCGTCGGACAGTTGAACGGATCGACGCGGGCGTCGCGCGGCACGTTGCTACCACGGAGACATTGTCGCTGGTCTTGAGACCGTCCATTTCCATGAGGAGCATGCCAAGGATGCGATCAAGGCTGCCCTCGGTGGTCGTGTCGTTGCCGCGGGGGACACCGAGCATGTCGACCTGGTCGAGGAGGACGACGCAGGGCGCGTGGTCTCGCGCATGGGCAAAGATGCGAGAGACTGCCTTCTCAGACGCGCCGAGCTTGGACTGAAGGAGGTCGTTGCACCTCACGTCGAGTGCCGCGATGCCGAGAGCGGCAGCCTCGGACGCGAGTGCGCGTGCGAGCGCTGACTTTCCCAGGCCTGCGTGGGTCAATCCACACCCGCACATGCATTTTTTTCCGGCGCCGGCGCGCTTACCCGTCGCACCGTAGAAAATTGCGCCCCCGGTACGTCTCAGACGGCGCGGCGGCGGGGGCGGTGCGGCGGCGGCACCGCCGATATCGTTGTCTTCAACCAGAAGCGGCTCGAGTACGGCTCGCCGGGCCACGCCGTAGGTGCGCGTGGCCGCGACGCCAGCGAGCGGGCACGTGACCATCGAGGGGCTCGAACTCGTGTTGGCAGTAGCGGTTGCTTCGCACGGCGAGATCCACGACGCGCCCGGCACGGCCGCAGCGTCGCGGCTTCTCGGCCCTGCGCACGCAGCAGTGATGAGGGCAGCACGTGATACGCGGCCGCCCTCGGCCCCTCGGACAGCCTCGGCGACGAGCGCCCAGATATCTGCGAGTGTGAAGCCGCGGCAGCGGCGCGCAACGACGGCGAACGTGCCCGCGCGGTCCCGGCCGACGTCGAGGCGCGCAGCTGCAGCTTCGAGGCAAGCGCGGCGCGCGCCGAAATCGAGGGCTCCAATGCGGTAGACTACGCCAAGCCGGCTGGCGCCTCGGCAGAGGCCGTCCGCGAGGGCAGCATCACCCTCGCGGCATATCGACAGCGCGAGTACGAAGACGCGGCTCATATGGGCGCCGCCGAGGGCATCAAGCTGCCGACGCACTGCGGCGCCGCGGCGGTCGAGTTCGCCCGACGAGCCGGCCGGCGCGATGTCATCGAAACAGTCCAAGACGAGCACGCAGGGCGCCTTTCGCCGCGCCGCCTCGAATCGCAGCGCCAGGCTCCGCTCAAACGCGCCCACGGCGCGGCGCGTTGTCACTGGCCCCGTATTCCACTCGCCCGCGACACCGAGCTCCGAAATGATCCACGCTGCCTATGGCTTCTATGGTCACGCCCACGCTCCGCGAACTGCGCGCCCAATACGCGGCGCCGTCTCCACACCAAGGCCGTCTTCCCCGTTCCACGACCGCCGAGCACGACGCAGCCGCGCACGACCGCGCCCCTCTCGGCGAATGCGGCCCGGCACGTGCCGACCACTGACGCGCCGATGGTCTCAAGCCCCGGCGGACACGACGGTGCGGGCTGTCTCATCATGAAACCCTCCCGCAAATCTAGCTCGGGGAAATCTGTTTCGTGAGGTCGTAAACTGCGGCTATTCATTTTTTTGGCTCTTATACAATTTCAAGCGTCGTTGAAGTGGTAGCGTAAGCTGTGAGTGCGAGCTCGCACGAATTTGTTTTGTTGAATCGAGACTTCAGAGGGGGGCTGTCGCAGCGCGACATATAGTCACTGTCCTAGCCCGTCCTACCGCGCCGACTGGCCGAGCAAGCGCAATTGTATGCGGGAAGCGAGTGAGGGGCGCCGACTGGCCGAGCAAGCGCAATTGTATGCGGGAAGTGAGTGAGGTCGGCCGATGCACATAGCGCCTGGTTTTTTTTTTTCGACCAGTCACAGCTCGATCGGCTCGCCACTTGCAACTCGGTGCCGCGCGTGCGCGCATACGCGCGCGCCCGCCCGCCGCAGAGCCGGTTGCGCCTTCGAGTACGTCCTATGGGAGGATCGTACGCGACCTTCCGGCGTTCGTAAAGCCGACTTCGCGCGCGCACGCGTGGGTCCAAAAAGTGCGGAAATCGGCCGGCCCAGCCGTGCTCCGGCGCATCGAGTCGTGAATCAACTCTTTTGCGGCTGGAAGCTCGCCATGATGGTGCGAGTCGATGGTGCGACGCATCTTTTGTGGCTCGTTGATTTTTGGGCGACTCGCGAATGTCCGCCGGGCGCCGAAGCGCTTCGACCGAAAACGCGAGCCGCGGTGCGCCTGTGGGCGCTGGCGGCGGGCTGGCTGCCGTCGAAGGCGTAGACCATATGTGACGAGCGGGCGAAGGCGTCGGAGTCGCCCCGGGTTGCGAAATACGGCGTGCGAGATGGTTGTTCTGGTCAA